GAGACGACCGTGGAAAGGAGGGTGCCAGGTCAGCCTGCCTGGAGCAAGGGGCGGCGGCGCCTCGCCCTAGTCGTCGGCGACGTCAGCGGCTCTTCCAATAATTGTGAGGAGGAGGAGGATGAGGAGGAGGAGGAGGAGGAGGAGATTGCGGGGGCGGGAGGAGGAAAGGGAGGAGGAGGGAGGACGGGGAGCAGGAGGAGAGACGAGGAGAGAGAGGGGAGGGAGGCGGAGGAGGAGGAAGAGAGAGGAGGAGGCGGGATGATGATGATGATGATGCTGATGATGAGGAGGATGATGATGATGATGATGCAGGTGATGATGATGATGATCATGATGATGATGATGATGATGATGATGATGATGATGATGATGATGATGATGATGATGCTGATGCTGATGATGATGATGCTGATGATGATGATAATGATGGTGATGATGATGAGGAGGAGGAGGAGGAAGAAGAGGAGGAGGAGAGAGAGGAGGACAACGAAACCGACGACGATGACGACGACGACGACGACATCGGACGACGATGACGACGACGACGACGACGACGACGCCGACGCCGACGCCGACGCCGACGCCGACGCCGACGCCGACGCCGACGCCGACGACGCCGACGACGACGACGACGACGACAACGACTTGGAAGGAGACGGGGGACGATGAAAAAGGACTGGGAATTGGTAAACGGGAAACGGGAGAGGCGACGCGGGACGCCAGGCAGGGAGGGGGGGGGGGAGCGGGAACAGCTGAGTGGGGGGGCGGGGATGGAGGCTAGGGGATGGGTCTGCCGGACAGGGCACTCGAAACGGGGCACGGGGACACATGCACGCGGACGGCCAGGAAGAAGAGGAGGAGGAGGAGGAAGAGGAGGAGGAGGGCACGAAGCTCGGCGGGCAGGTTGAGCTGCAGCCACGCCTAAGCCTGCATGCGATGGAGCGCGGCCAGCCTCACGCTAGCCCGCTGGTCGGCGCCCACGGCCAGGCCCACGTCCATCCGATGCTTCTGGATGTGGTAGCACTGGCACATGAGGCCGACGGTGTAGATGCAGTCCGCGATGGGCCGCTTCGAGTGGCACAGCTCGTCGCCGAAGCCGAGGAGCTCCAGGCCGTTGCCGATGGCGTCCGCTCCCGTGTCGCCCGCGGCCATCGCCCGAAGGATCGGGCAGTGGATGTAGTGCTCGAGCGCATCCTCGTCGTCGCAGCCGAAGAGGCACGGGCGTGCGTCGATGACGGCGCTCATGCGGCGCGAGGTCGTCCAGCCATTGACCGCCGCGCGCATCCACGACCACATCCAGGCAGGGCGGACCTCCGTCAGCTTGCTACGCAGCGGAGGCCATCTCTCGCGCAGCACGGGCAACGAGCACTCGACCCCCCACCTGCGCAGCCGGCGGTGGAAGGTGGGCACGAGGTCCTCGGGGTACAGCGAGCCACGGAGAACAGCAGCGGCCGTGGCCTGGCGTTTGGGCTTCCTGGGAGGAGTGGCTGCAGCCGCCGTCTTCGTCTCCAGGAGCATCGCCGACTTCGCCTTCTGGATGAACCTGCTCGGGATCGGGACCGCGATCGTGTCAAGCGTCGGTCTGGGAATGTCGAGCTGGCCGTAGGCATCCGAGATCAAGGCGTAGTTCTGCACGATCGCCCTCCTCGTCCGCCACCACGGTGGGGACCAGTTGCCCTTGATCACGTCGGTCAGCGGAACATGCTCCACTGCAGCTTCATGGAGGTGGCGGAGGTGAGCTTCCCATCCACGCACCGTGTTCTCCGCCGAGCGCATCATCGCGGCGATCGTGTATGGGAAGAGGCCAATCGGCGACGGTGAGCCACACCACGCGCTCAACGATAGGATGTCAGCCTTGCGCATGGACGACGGCGGCAACCGCAGCAAGCGGTGCAGGGAGGTGAACTCGACCTTCCAGATGGCGGGCACGATGAAGTAGAACTGCGCAAGGTACGACAGGCACGGCAGCGCGTTGATGTTGCACGCGCGGGCCGCGAGGCTGGTGGCCATGCCCGTGCGCGCCAGCTCCCAGCAGCGGGTCCACCACTTCCCCACCGCAGCCTTCCAGATGCCGAAGTCCGTGACGCCAGGGCCCAGGTGAGTTCCCAGGTACTTGGCCGAGGAGTCGATGCGGAAGCCCAGCCAGCGGGGGACCTCCTCAGCGAGGAAGGACTTGACGTTCTGCAGTGTGTCGTCCGTGATCTCCTCCCACAGCGGGACCAGCACGCACTTGTGCAGGGCCAGCTGCAGATTGAAGGCGAGTTCTATGGAGACGAAGGTGTGGTCAATGCTCGGGAGGGCGACCGCGTTCTTGATCAGCATCCCGAGATCGTCCGCGCAGGCCTTGAGGGATCCATGCTCGGCGATCGCCGCCAGAAGGGCACGGATGGGGGCATCCATGGCCAAGCACCAGATCGTGCCAGAGAGCGGGCATCCTTGCATGATACCGCACATGAGCGCGAACAACGGCTCGAGCTCCGCACTGGTGCCCTCGGCACGGAAGGAGCTGAAGGCGAGGCAGTTGCTGTAGAGCGCCTCGATCACGCTGCGGAAGCCCCGCGGGACCCCGAAGCGCGGGAGGACCTTCTCGATGACTTCCCTGAAGAGCGAAGGGAAGGCCTGGCGGAAGTCGAACGACAGGAACATGGGGCGGCGGGTCATAGCATCAGGAAGGAGGCCCTCCCTGCGGCACTCCGCGTCCAAGAACGGGATGTGGTCGACGAAACGCCGCCCAGCAGTGAAGCCCTTCTGCTCGGGTGAAGTAGATGAGGTGGCAATAGGCTGGAGCCCTCGATCCGCGCAGGCCGCAATCAGCTTGGCGTCGCAGCTCTTGAGGGAGAGGGTGCGCACCGTGGATGCCGTGCGCGTGCAGGAGTCTGGGACGTCGTCCTCCTCCATTCCCTTAGGGACGCAGATGAAGATCGACCAGTTGAGGTCGAGCGGGGCCACTCCGTCGTTGAAGAGGGCTTGCATGAGCCCATGGAGATGCTGCAAAGCTCCAGGGCTGCGGCGCCATGCTGCATACGTCAGCTGATCTGGTCCCGCAGCGCTTGGTGGTGCCCTGCTGACCGCTCGTTCCAGGTTGTGAAGGGCAGGTTGGGGAAGTTCCACCACAGGGTTCCTCGGTGCATGCTTGTCCAAGAATGTGTCCAGTGTCTTGAGCTGTTCAGAATTCGGCACCTTCGCGAAGATCTCACCCCAGTAGTTCGCCACAGTCATCTTCATGCCCGCGGGGTCGGTGACCACGCGCTGAGCCACCTGCGAGTCCTTGGCGGCACACGGGGCGGAGTCCACGCGCAAGCCCGAGAGGATCATGCGACGCCGCCACGGAACCCATAGCTGCGCATGTCTGGCGGCCTTGCGTTCAACTCTCCGCCAGGCTGCGCTGTCGCGCACGTTGGCGGTCCGAGCTGCGGCCTCCGCCGCCTGCCTTCTCAGAGAGTGCACCCGCTCGGCGATGGCGTCGAAGTTAGTGGCAAAGCTGTCGGGTCCACGATGTGCACGTTGCCGTCGGTAACTTGGAGGTGGGCAGCCATCGCGGGGCAGGAGTCGAGAAGCCTACCCGCAAGGACAGCGTCCTGTCGCCAAACGGCTCGCGCCGCCGATTTGAAACCCATGTACGAGGTCTCGACCGTGGAGTCCTTGACGAGGAGGGAGAAGTTGGTCCTCAACTGTTCGTCCCGAACACGTCGCGCAGCAAGCTTCATGCACTGCTTCGCTGCTCTCCAACGACCTTCCGCCGTTTCCCCCTCCAGGGCACAGTGGTCCAGCATGAGCGAGTATGCCTCGGGGTACTTCCTGTGGTTGAAGAGGTGCGTCGGGATTGGCTGCTCGTCTCGAGGGACGCGGCGAGCGGCAGTAATCTGCAGGACGAGGGGCGCGTGGTCACTGATGCCCGCCTCGGAGAGCTCCATCGCATCCCTCGCGGTGGTCAGGATCGTTGAGACCGAAAGCATGGCGTGCGCGTCGATGCCCAAGAAGATGCGGTCGATCGTGGACAGCGGCTTGCAGGACTTGTCGTAGTGAGTCGGCCATTGGGATTCAACCTCCATGGCAGCAGCGAATAGACGGCGCCACGCAGGTTGCCGAAGTTGGCATCGGTGATCAGGTCGTAGGCGCCACGCCGTGGCGTCAGAGGGCGCACGTTGACTGACTGGCGGACGGGAGGCAATGTTGAAGTCCCCGACGCCCAGGAAGATGCGATGTAACGAGTCACGGCGCGCCCACGCCAGGCCACTGGACCAAGTGCGCTGTATAGCAGAGAACTCGTGCGGCTTGAGGTCGTAGTTGTGGATGTTGAAGATCTGCATGCTGTACTTGCCCGTGCTGTCGGTGATCGCGAGGAGCGCCGCGCGGCCGGCCGCCACTATGTCGAAGCGGTAGGACGGCAGGGCAGGAGTGGCGTTTCGTGAGCTTGACCGGGTGTAGTTCGGCATTGACGTGGATGTCGACGGGGGACTTCGTGTACTTGACCAGGTGTCGGGGCGACTTGCTGCCGATGAAGACGCGGAGGTTCGCGTGCTTGACCAGGTATCTTGCGTCGGTAAGGATGCTGCAGGAGGCGAAGCGCACGCATGGGAACCCTCCCGCGGCGCAGCGCCCCTGCTTCCCAGAGATTCGGCTCTGGGTCCTTCCGCCCTTGGACATTCATCGACGTGTCGAGGGACGAGAAAGGCGACTCCACCCACGGCAGCAGAAGGGCCAGGCGAGAGGAAGCTCAAGTACTTCTGCGGCTGCGCCTGGAGGAAGATCCCGAGGGCGTCCTCGGAGCCGTGGACCTCCTGCACAGCGATGATGGCGTTGACCTTCATGTACGATGCGAGCAGTGCCAGCTTGCGTCTACGCAGCCTCGCGTCCGAGTGGAGCAGGCCACGGGCGTTCCACACTACCATGCGAAGGCCACGGAAGCCATGTCGACCGCCAGGGGGACGCCAGGGCGCCCACAGAGGGGTGCTAAATCCACTCGGTATTGTCCTCCAAGGAGAAGGCCTTCTTGAACTGCATGTTGATGGACTCCCTGTCGATGTGCAGCCTGGCAACCATGTCTGGGTTCCACCTGATGATCGTGTCGGTGTAGCGGGATTCGCCCATCTCGAGCTTGGCAACCTTGACGCCCTGAGAGGTGACGATGCCACGGGCTCGCTGAGCACTGAAAGAGAGATCAGGATGAGCTTCTGCCAACAGGGCCGAGAGCCTCCTCGACTGAATCTCCATTCGCACTTGCTGCGGTGACTTGTCGGGCGAGATGTACAGCGGGACGGTGCCACCGCCGACGCTCTGGGCGCAGAAGGCTCGCCACCCGTTCCTGCCGGCAGGGTCACGCAGCTGCCGTGCAAGAGCTTGGGCTCGCGGTAGTGCGACACCGTCGCCTCCCTGCACCAGGACGTTGAAGCGCTTGGAGGGGACCGCAGGGTCGAGGCGGACCATGTCGTTGGTGAGGCCAGCAGCCCGAATCCACTCCTCCAGGCCTTGCAGCGCTTGGGCGGGTCCAACCAACTGCGGCGCTCCGATCGAGAAGATCCGCGGGTTGGGTTGACGAGACCACGCCTCCAGCTCTTGAAAGTCCATGAGGGGCAACTCTTTCTCCGCGAGGGCCAAGGCCTTGTTGATGTCGCCGATCTGCTTGCGCATGGCGGCCTGCTCCGCCTCCAGGGCGTCGGCGCGCTGGCCGATGGAAGCAATGTCGCGCGTCTGCACTGCGAGGGATCTGTTGACAGCCTCCTGCTGGGTCTGAAACATGCGTACCAGTTGCGTCTGGCATGACGTGACTTGTGCCATGGAAGTAGCGGCGATGGCATCGGTAGCTTGGCGAATACAGCTCTGCAGCATGGCCTGCATGTCCATGCCGCCAGCATCCACGGGGGTGGCCATCCCGCCGATGGGAGTGCCCGCCGCAGGAGGTACAGCGTGACCGTCGGCAGGAGCAGCTCGATCATGCCACGGGTCCCCACCAGGTCGTTGCCACGGGTCAGGGGGAGCGTGCTGAGGCCCAGCTTGTGGGTTGCCAGTGGGTGCCTGCTCCACCTGCATGGCCTGCCGCTCCTGCGAGGGGAAGGTGGCCGCGGCCTCGAAGGCAGCGGCAAGCTCATCCTGTGCAGCACGGTCGAGTCCCCCAGGTCCATGGCGTGCTCGATCACTGGCCGGCGAGCCCGAGGCATCCGCTTCGCCGTCGGAGCGCGGGTGGCCCCGCCGAGCTCGCCTCCGCGCAGGAGCTCGCTCGTTGGTGCTGCGGGAGGCCGAGCGGAGGTCCTCGGCGGGTGGCTGCTCCTTGCCTTTGTCAGCACGCCTCCGCCCATCAGCAGCGCCAGGGCCACGGTGGCCGCCACCAGCGCGACCAGCCCTGCGCCGTTCCTCCTCGGCCGCCATGCGTTGCGATGGAGAGCCCTCGCGGGCACAAAACTGTGGGTCCAGGCGGACCAGTCTTTGGCGGCAGCTCGCCCTGGGGGTGGCTGCAAAGGAATCTCGACTCCTGGCCGCGGCACAGCGGTATCCATTTGGACGCCGCCGCGCGCCATGGCCTTGAGCCAAAATGGCTACGGGGGAAGAGGAGGAGGAGGAGGAGGAGGAAGAGGATAAGGAGGAGGAGGGGTAGGAGGAGGCGGAAGAGGAGTAAGACAAGAGAAGAGGAGGAGGGGGAGGAGGAAGAGGAGGAGGAGGAGGAAGACAAGAGAAGGGGAGGAGGAGGAGCCGAGGGAGCGGCAGCACGTCGGACGCCGCGGTCGCTTCGGCCACAGCGCCGGCAGCGGCGACGAGAGACAATCAGCCGCGGCGAGGCGGTGGCCCGCGGCCGGGGCCCGCGCGCAGAGCACGCGGGCGGCCCCTGGCAGCGGCAGACCTCCGACGTCGTCGTCGTCGTCATTCGTCGTCGTCATCGTCGTCGTCGTCATTCGTCGTCGCCGTCGTCGTCGTCGTTGTCGTCGTCGTCGTCATTCGTCGTCGTCGTCGTCCGTCGTCGTCCGTCGTCGTCGTCCGTCGTCGTCGTCGTCGTCGTTCGTTGTCGTCGTCGTCGTCGTCGTCGTCGTCGTCGTCGTCGTCGTCGTCGTTCGTTGTCGTCGCTGTTCGTCGTCGTCGTCGGTTTCGACTTTGCCAGTGCCCCAGAGGTCTGGGCCTGTCTGGATCCCTTCCCAGGCACCAGCTTTTGACTTTGGGACTTTTTCTGGCGGCCCTAAGACCTCGTGAGGGCCCCTAGAGACTGACAAGATTGCAAACACCTGAGGCCCTGAGTTGTTTACTGGCGATAACTCGGGCCCCTGGCGGCCGTTCGGGACAATCCGAGCACCCGGAACGCTGGCGATGAGGCGCAGCTGCGGGAGAGCATCCCGAGGCCGGAAAGCCTCTGAGCGAAGCCCACGAAAACGTGCAGAAGCCTGGAACCCCGAACCTCCTTTTCCTCCTCATCCTTCTCCTCCTCCTCCTCCTCCTCCTCCTCCCCCTCCTATTCCTCCTTCTCGTCTCTTTCCTCCCCCCCCCCGCCCCCTCTCCTCCTCCTCTCTCCGCCTA